CAATTAAAAGGAAGTTTACAGTTAAAAGTACAACAGCTATGGAATTATTCTACGATACCTGCTCATTTTTATTTAGCTAAAAGATATTTAAAATCACAACGTGGATGTTTATGGTTAGCTGACGAACAATTTGTAATAATGCTAGCTACGCGAATTCGGAACCTTGTAAAGGTTTGGCTTATGGATCAACCCAAACCAGAAAAGCAGGATCACTTTGTAGATGAAATTGTGTATTATCATAATCGAACATGGAAGATTCGTCTAATACAATATCGGTACCGGCATCCAAGTGAAATTATGAATTTACCTCCAATACCATCTGGACTTCGATGCTTACGAATCTTTATTGATTTATATTATGACAACTTTGGGACCTTTCGAAATGTTTATCATTCGCTTGGTGGAGTCTATGCCAGTTTGGTAATATGCTATTTTGTTTACGGAAGCTACTAAAAAATCATTATCCTATAGGCTTTGTGCTATTTGGTGCTAAATTTGAAGATTTTATAAAACCATTTATATCGGACATGCAACAACTACAAAATGGTATTCGAATGACTTTATAAGACAGAGAGGAGGTCTATATTAGGGGTGGTTTGGGGGTGGTTACTGCCGACCTGCCCCAGGAAAATAATCTTAGTGAGGTTAAAAGACATGGAGCTAATCACGGGTATAGGAGTTGTGAAGCAGAGGGAGACGAATTGACAGAAAATAACTATGATATTATACGACATTCACAGTATCATCATATTACAGACATGCAATTTTTCGAAATTCAGTCACAAGAAAATTTAACTAATAAAAAAAGAATTGCTACAAAGTATAGTCAGTGTTTAAACAAAAACATTTTAGACCAACTATATCGTTATCGGCATCAGCAATGTTCCCAAGACCTTTATCATGCTATGGCTGAAAAGGTGAAAAGACTAATGGAGTGTACTCTAACACTTTTTAATGATGAAAGAAATGCAGCATTTTTAAAAATATGGAAATCAATAGAATTGCCTAAGTTTTGGTCAAAATTACCAAACCCTATAACTTACTATAAAAGTTTTATGATGTCTGATTTATTACGTCTTGCGATGTTAATGCCTCATATTTTGCGTCGCTTCTTAAGAACTCAACACATAAAAGAATCTACACTTACTAATCTTTGGAGTACAATAAAATGCAAACATCAAGATCAGGTAATTGGTGAGATCATAAAGTGTTGGGTGTCACTTTCTTTTTCCGTAAAGCAGTCATTTGCCATTACATTTCCTAAAGATTATTTGGAAATGCTGTCCGGGGTATTGAAAAAGGAGCATGACAATTTGATAAAGGTATTTATTGATAAGTTTATTGTCACTTAGAGTTCACCCCAATGTTCATAGAACCTTATTATTATTTATTGATCTGTTATAAGGATCGGAATCAGTTAGTCGATTACTATACTTAGTTGATTAGTTAGTTGAATAAGGATAGTAGTCAACTAAACTGATTCCAATCCCTAATTTGGTATAACTATTTTTAGGTATTCCTGGAATCTTTTTTTTGTCTTCCAAACCTTCACGTAAATGTACATCTAATTGCGAATACCAAGAACTATGGAACTTTGATTAATACTGCTTGTGGTGTCAAAGAGGCCATGCATGGTTTATTCAAAGCTCTCGTTCCACATACAAACAAAAAAAATATTGATCTTGATCTCTTAAGGCGGTACAACACACTTCAGGCATTGCGCTTTTGGCTTGATATGAACGCATTCTGAACTCGAATTATTATTCAAGCCGCTCTTTGTTAAGACCATTGCTTTCAAAATGGTATATTGCAGAGCCATCTGATCCAATTGATGATTTAGAATTTGAAAATAATGAAGCAAATGGTAATTTCTATCTGCGTATAGTATCTAAGTCAGTCGTAACCAGGGCTTAAAAGACTATATTGAAATACCAGCCATTCAAAATGTTATTCTTGATCTATATTATATTAGAAAATAATTGGCTAATATAGTAAACAATAAGATGTACCATATATTAATTTTAATGAATCAAGAAAAACACTTTAAACAATAGGCTATAGACTGGCAAATTACTATAGAATTTTAAGCCCTGTCATAACGTATACCTTCTATAAGCGTACACCCTCTTTAAATGCACGCTTAAATTTGGCCAAATATATATAACCTCTATAAACTCACTTGTTAAAGTCTAGTGCACTTATAGAGATTATTGTAATACAGTTAGCTTTTATATCGTGAAGTATTAAATTGATAGTTCGTTATATCAAGAAAAGAATTTTTTAT